TCCAAGTAGCCTGATGGGAGGGGGGAATTTAATTATCGTAGCTTAAACAAGTAAGAGCAGCGCTGTCTTCGGCTATGCCGAAGGCTTCATACCTTTCATGAACATCTGCAAATTTTACTTTGACAGATTACTGCTTTTGAATACATCTGCATACATCGATAGAGGAGTTACATACTTATATAAAAAATCGCATCTAAACAATCAGAGGTATGGAAGATATACTCTATATGGCACCAATCTAAGTGATTTTCACTGCTATGTGATCGGTATGTAAACCGGTAACACAATTTATTGGGTTTAGTTTCCTACATAAAGAAGATATATCGCAAAAACTGGTATCTGAACAATCAGTGGTATAGGAGATAAAGCTTATACAGAATAGATTTTGACGATTTTCTCAGTAGACTTTGTATTATTATTTATAAAATATCTTACGAAATTTATCGGTTTTAGCTGTTCAAATAAAGGAGTTTTACAGTAAAATCCCATATCTGAACAATCAATCAGATGTATGGAAGATACATATATGTTATAGTCACCCGATCCTTGTTATTTTCACTGTAAGTATTCCGTTGATAATGAGCAAAAATGGTGCGAAATTTCATGTTCCTAGCTACATAAATGGAGGAGTTATGATAAAAGACCTCATATCTGAACAATCAGTTGTATGGGGGCTACAGGTTATAGTGACCCGATCTTTGTTATTTTCACTGTAAGTCTTCTGTTGATAATGAGTGAAAACAGCGCGAAATTTCATGGTCCTAGCTACATAAATGGATGAATTATAACGAAAAATCTCATATCTGAACAATCAGTTGTATGGGAGCTATAGGTTATAGTTACCCGATCTTTTTAATTTTCACCGTAAGTTTTCTGTTAATAATTATTGAAAACAGTGCGGAATTTCATGTTCCTAGCTATATAAATGGAGGAGTTATAACGAAAAATTTTATATCTGAACAATCAGTTGTATGGGAGCTATAGGTTATAGTGACCCGATCTTTGTAATTTTCACTGTAAGTATTCTGTTGATAATGGGTGCAAGTACTGCAAAATTTCATGTTCGTAGCTGCATAAATGCAGAAGTTATAACGAAAAATCTCATATCTGAACAATCAGTTGTATGGGAGCTATATGTTATAGTGGTCCGATTCTTCCGGTTCCGACAAATGATTAATACATTATAAAAATACACCCACCTACCAAATTTGATCCGGATATCTCGAAAACTGAGAGACTAGATTGCATACAAACAGACAGACAGACGGACAGACGGACAGACGGACAGACGGACAGACGGACAGACGGACAGACGGACATGGCTAAATCAACTCAGCTCGACGTTCTGATCATATAAGTATACATTTTAATGGGTCTATCTCTTTTTGTTCTGGTACTTACAAACATCGGACCAAAGTTATAATACCATTTCATGCTCATGAAAGGTATAAAAATCTAGTGGTTACCTACCTTCATGCATATGTACCAGCGTATCCACTAGATATATTAAATCACATAAGTAGTCCAGGAAGTACCAGACTGTGGGTGCTCGATGATTTATCTCCCAGAAAACTGAGCGTCCCACGACGAATATGATGTTGTAGAGCACAGCTAAGGAGACAATACCGAGCCACTGTAAGCA